AGGCCATGGATGAGGAAATGCAATCAATCGAAAAAAACAACACATGGGAATTGACGGACCTTCCAGATGGGAAGAAAGCGATTGGAAGTAAATGGGTGTACAAGGTGAAAACAAACACCGATGGAAGCACTCAGCGTTTCAAGGCAAGAGTAGTCGCTCAAGGTTTTTCCCAGAAATTCGGAACTGACTACAACGAGGTTTTTGCACCTGTCGTTCGGCAGTCTACATTCAGGACCCTGTTATCGGTGGCAGCTAAAGAAGAGTTGCTTGTTGAACATTTGGACGTGAAGACAGCATTCTTAAATGGAAATCTTGATGAAACCATATATATGAAACTGCCTCCAGGATTTAATAAAAGCAGTTCGGACCAAGTATGCCTTCTGAAGAAAAGTATCTATGGTCTAAAACAGGCAGCGAGAGCTTGGAACGAAGCAATTCATAACACATTGATTGCAGCAGGTTTTGTACAAAGTAAAGTCGATCAGTGCCTGTACTCCATAAATATAAGGGGCGATTGGTGCTATGTGCTCATCTATGTTGATGACATTATAGTAGCATGCAAAACAAGAGACCAAATAAAGGAAATTCAGGCAATTTTGTCAGAAAAGTTTGAGATCCAGAACCTGGGAAAAATAAAACAGTATCTAGGAATTGAGGTGACGGAAGACGAAGATGGAAACTTTGAACTCTGCCAGTCAAAGTATATCGAACAAGTTGCATCAAATTTTGGCTTACAAGATGCAAAGGGAGCTAACACACCAATGGACGTCGGATACTACAAGTCGAGTGATTCATCACTTCAGCTACTCGACAATGGCACTTATCAAAAGCTAATAGGGTGTTTACTCTACATATCAGTAAATACCCGACCTGATATCACGGCAAGTATATGTATACTGTCACAAAAGATTTCAAGTCCAAGTCAAGAGGATTGGAACCAATTAAAGCGTGTCGTGAAATATTTAAAGGCAACATCCGGTTTGAAGTTGAAATTGAGTGACACAAAATGTACAAAATGTCAGGACGGATTAGTCGGGTATGCAGATGCAAATTGGGCAGAAGATAGAAACACGCGAAAGTCCAACAGCGGACTTGCATATTTCTACAACGGAGGATTGATCAGCTGGTCATGTCGCAAACAAACATGTGTGTCATTATCGTCAACAGAGGCGGAATTTGTGGCACTATCAGACGCCTGTCAAGAGGCAGTGTGGCTGCAAAGATTACTAAAGGATATGCATCAGCGGATTAACCTTCCAACCATAATTCATGAAGACAACCAAAGCTGCCTAAAGTTGGTGAAGGAGGGAAGATTCTCGAACAGGACCAAACATATTGACACGAAGTTCCATTATGTCAAGGATTACGTTAAGGAAGGGATTATTCAATGCGAGTATTGTCCAACGGAGGAAATGATTGCAGATTTATTTACAAAACCGTTATCAGTAAACAAACATGTAATGCTGAGAAGGAAATGCAATGTAGTGTAGTTGTTTAAACGAGGAGGAGT